CCGATCGCCCCATTTCCCAATGCCAACCAGATGACAGCATGTTTCTTCGGCAGGATCTACCGGCCGGTCTCGTCGGCAGACACAATATAGCGGATGGAGTTAGCTGGCAGTTTCGGAGCTCTTCGGCATCAAGGTTTTGCCTCTATATTATTTCCTTGGCTGGTAGACACCGACGACGGCGGCGGGCGGGCCGCCGATCGGCATGTAGGGAGCGGCGCAAGCTGATGAGCGGCGCACGTACGCGGCGACACTGGCGTCTCGGGGTGCTGTCGGCCCAGGCCCAGTCCTGCAGGGTCTAATTCCATCGCTGCATTATTGGCTTGTTGTTCGGCCAATATGGCCCTCAACCCATGTATTTCCTCGTTCCTGGACGATCGAAGCATCACTTGACGATTGGCCTCTACCCGAGCCTGATATACGTGCTTCTTGAGGTATATGGAGAATACAAAGCGACCTGTTGGTGAAGCCTTCGCTTCGCGACTTTCCACACTTCCTTACCTTTGCTTTGACTCCTCCTTCTGTCTATACCTCTCCCCATGCTTCCGTTTGTCACATTGGCGGCGGCCACGCCGTTGATGATATTCCAGGGTAACTCTATCCTCATCACACCGCCCAAAGAGTCACACTATCCAGGCAATGCGACATTTTCAGCATCCAACTTTTACTGCTTTGCCATGCCGTCAGGCTATCTGAGCTTCGGGTGGTGTGTTCCCTTCACAAGCACCTACGAGAAGTTGCCATGACCAATGTCATGTTGCTGACATATTTGCCTTGATACAGGTGGCTCCCAGCCGATCCTTTATCTGGTCATGACCGATGCCGCCCCAACTCGACCACATTCGACTGGTACGAATACAGCACAAAGGGGGAATGCACTTCCACTGAGTGTCGTGTACACGCTGTCAACTTTGCCAACTCGGACAAGGCCAAAAGACCCGCCATGGACTTTGACTACGTCGCCTCACTCATCAATGTTGGTCGCGGCGACCTGGGCAACCTGGCTGTCAGCTACTTTGACGAAGAAAACGGGGCCTACGCTGTTGGAACGCGAAGGCTGCTGACAGGGGCAACGCAAGGATCGCGGGAGAATCACGATTGCCACGCAGCTTACCACACCGTGGCTGAATTGCATCGGCGACACCATGTACCGCTTGCATTCGAGCTTGTCAACCCCTGTACTGTAGAATCTGACCAGGACAGCCAGCAGAGCCTATTGGAAGAGCTGTGATCAAGCGAAGAAACAATGATACACATAACGTTTACTGCCCAAAATGAATCACTGGCTTGATTGTCCTCATACCTTCACCAATCCGTTTTATTTATATTGCTTGAAATAAGAAGCTATACAGCGAAAGCCTGTGTAAGTTAAACAAGCAGTCTACCGCCATCTGCAACAATAACACTGCCGGTAGCGAACGTGTTCTTCATGCAGTAGAGGTAGGCCTCAGCGAGCTCCCCCGGTGTACCCACTGTGTCGGTGAGAGAATTTGTCTTGAACGTATCGAGGACCGACTGCAACCTCTCCTCGGGTATGTCGGCAAACAGCTCGGTGTGGACCGCCCCAGGGGACACAACATTCACACGAAGGGGTTTCAAGTCGACGGCGAGACCACGGGCCAGGCCCTCGACTGCCGCCCCAGCACTGACGAGAAGGGCCCAGCCAGGGGTCGGCCGGTTCGTGGTGACGCCACTGGTGAGGGTGAGCGAACTGGCAGCCGACTGGTGCGTGTAGAGCGGAAGGAGCTTGGCCAGGATGATAGGTGCAACGACGCGCACAAGGTTGGTGTCCTGAACGGCCTGCACAGTCGCGTCGGGCACCTTGACAATCTTCAAGGGTGCGCCGGCAGTAAAAACCACGTGGTCCAGTAGGCATGTGCGTCCGGCCGTGGCCAACTCGAGCGCCGATGCGATGTTCTTCTCGAGCGTGGCCGCATTCGCCAGGTCGCAGGTGACGCTAGAGATGCGCGGCGATTCCTCGCTCAGGGTGCCGCTACCACTGCTTTGATTTTCTGAACCCGGCCCGCTACCTAGCGGAATCGCGGGGTTGACGATGCCGGTACGCAAGCGGTCAACAGCCTTACGCAATTTGGCCTCGTTGCTGCTGCTAATGATAACATCGGCGCCGTGCTCGAGCGCCGCTTCGGCGACGCTGAAACCAATACCGGAGCTGCCCCCAAGGACCAGAAGCCGCCGGCCCTGGAGCTTAGTGACGTACCGCAGTGCGGACATCGCTTTTGTTGAGGTACACAATACAGGAGAGAGATGTTTTGGGTTTGTTTGCGTCGCGGGGACTGTCAAGGGTGTGGCCTCGCAAAAGGTTCACGCATGTAATGTCGCCGTTTTCCTGCCGCCCTTCGCCGACTCCTTCGTTTATAACCGCCTTTCGTTGCTGGAGTTAACGGTCTTAAACCCATGTCGCGCAAGCATGCATGCAGGCTTGCTGACCATTGCGGTCTGACCCTGCACTTATGCGGGCCGCGGCCGCTACTCCATGTCGCCGCCTACCTGACCCGCTTCATAGCCCGGTGGTGCTACCTTTTACTTCTCTGCGTATGTCGGCACGAGATTGTGGTCTTGGACTAGATGGATATGGTCCTTGAAGCTCATTTTTACAAGATGGCGGCTGTGAAAAAGTCCTCCGGGGTAGATACGGACTTCGCAATCGTAATGTGTAGCTTGTAAATAGTCATTGTTAAATATCTTCAATTTAATTTATTCTTTATGCTCGCTGTGTCGCGTTGAGGAACTTTGCATGTCTTCTAAACCATCCTAACATCCGCCAGTCAAACACATCATTCCGATGGCCATCACACTACCGACCCAATGACTTAGAGCACGCAAGGCGCCACGTGCGACGAAACTTCGTCGTTCTGGCTTTTCCTCTGCATGGCCGAGCCGCTTTCTTCAACCACATTGCTACCCTTTGTGTACTTCATGGTCAGGGACTTTGGTTACGAAGAAACTGAAATTG